CGACTGTCCCCTATGCCCGTGATCGAGGAACCGTTTAGGCGGGTGGCAGTCGACCTAGTGGGACCTCTACCTAACCCCAGTCCCTCGGGTAAGAAATATATTCTTACAGTAGTAGACTATGCTACACGCTACCCGGAAGCCCTCGCTCTGACGAATATCCAGGCTGACACTGTCGCCAGTGCTCTAGTCGGGATATTCACCAGATTGGGATTTCCTCAGGAAATCCTGTCCAACCGAGGGACCCAGTTCACCGCAGACCTAACCCAACAGTTATGGAAGGTCTGCGGTGTTAAGACTCTGTTTAGTTCACCGTACCACCCTCAGACTAATGGTCTCTGTGAACGCTTTAATGGTACCCTAAAGCAATTGCTGCGGACCTTTACGGCGGAATACAAAGACTGGGAGCGATTCTTGCTGCACCTCTTGTTTGCATATCGAGAGGTACCGCAGGAATCCACTGGGTTCTCTCCATTCGAGCTGCTCTATGGACGGAGAGTGCGAGGCCTCCTCAACCTCATCCGAGAGCACTGGGAGGGAGAGATAGAGTGTTCCCATTGTACCATATGTGCTGGAGATGCGGAACCGCATGGGGCACTTAGCCAGGATGGCCCGAGAACACCTCCAGGCGGCCCAGGGCCGTCAGAAACATTGGTACGATCGGGGCGCCCGTCAGAGAACGTTTCAAGTGGGCCAGAAGGTTCTGGTGCTTAGACCTGTCAAAAGGAAATAAGCTCCAGACCTCCTGGCAGGGCCATTACAAAAGTAGTAGCACAGGTCTGCGATACTACATATGTAATTGCCAGCAGCAAAGACGAGAGGATACAGAAATTCTTTCATGTAAACCTATTAAAGGAGTATCAGGAAAGACCAGAGAATGTGGCGGCCATATGTATCCCAGCCACTGAAGACCCTGACAGCCTACCTATTCCAGATCTGTTAGCCGACTCAGAGCCCAAAATTCTGCTCAATACAGTACAGCTAGGGGACCGGTTAACTCCCGCAGTAAAGGGGCAGATCCGACAATTACTAACTGAGAAAGGGTTGACGTTTTCCCAGGAGCCAGGACACACTTCCTTAGCGACTCACTACGTAGAGACCCCAGGACAAAACCCTCTCAGACAGACTCCCTACAGAATCCCTGAAGCAGTAAAAGAGGAGATGAGGAAGGAGATCCAAGAGACGTTAAGACTGGGAGTTATAGAGCCTTCCGACAGCCCCTGGGCCTCGCCCGTTGTCCTAGTCCCCAAAAAGGACGGAACGAGCCGGTTCTGTGTCAATTACCGACGCCTCAATGACAGAATCGTGACAGATGCATACCCCATGCCCAGGGTGGACAAACTATTAGATCGTATTGCCAGGGGACGCTATCTGACCACCATCGATCTGTGCAAAGGGTATTGGCAGATTCCCCTGGCCAAGGAAGCTATTCCTAAGTCGGCGTTTGTCACCCCGTTTGGCTTATACCAGTTCAAGGTCATGCCATTCGGGATGAAAAACGCCCCAGCTACATTCCAGCGCTTAGTGGATCGTCTCCTTGATGGCTTCCAGAACTTCACTTGCGCGTACCTGGATGACATTGCGATCTATAGTGAGACTTGGGGGGACACCTGAGACATGTAGAGGCTGTACTGGATCAAATTAGGGCCACAGGCCTAACCCTGAAACCAGAGAAATGTAATTTCGGGATGGCCGAAGTCCAGTACTTGGGACACATGGGATGTGGGAAACAACGACCAGAACCCGCTAAGGTTGAGGCTGTAGCCAATTGGCCCACACCCCACACTAAGACCCAGGTATTGGCATTCTTAGGGACAGCAGGATATTACAGGAAATTTGTCCCTGACTATAGTACCATCACTAAACCTCTGAAGGATTTGACAAAGAAGAATTTGCGTAGGGTAGTCCTGTGGTCTCCCGCCTGTGAAACAGCATTCCAAACCTTGAAACAAGCATTGATCAACGCACCTGTTTTGTCTGCCCCCGTCCCTAACAAAAGATTTGTCGTCCATACAGATGCGTCCATGTACGGACTGGGGGCAGTTCTAAGCCAGGTCGGGGACAATGGAGGGGAACACCCTGTCGCGTACCTGAGTAGAAAGTTATTACCCAGGGAAGTGAGCTACGGGGCAGTGGAAAAGGAGTGTTTAGCCCTGGTCTGGGCTCTAAAGAAACTCACACCCTACCTGTATGGTCAGGAATTCACCCTGATCACGGACCATAACCCACTAGTATGGCTGAACCAAGTAGCTGGAGATAATGGACGCTTGATGAGATGGAGCTTGGCCCTGCAACCCTACAATTTTTCCATCCAATACCGCCCTGGCAGGTTCAATGGGAATGCAGACGGCATTTCCAGGCAAACAGAACTTTTACCTTAACAGCAGACCAGACAGCCTCAAGTTGACCTGAAAAGGATCAATCCGGGTCTGCCGGAGGGTTCCACAAAAGGGGAGCAGTGTGACGGAACTATGATTTCTGCCTGGACATCTTTAATAATAATAATACAGATGGATATACAAAGTACTGAATTGCTTGTTGCATGTGAATCACTATTACCCAAGAATGAATCCAATCATCAAACTACTGAACACCGGACCACCCTGGTGTGCAATTAAGTGATACTTTACCTCCTAGCTCTATTTCAGCCATTCGCATGGTTCAGCACGAATCCTTTGTGTTAAGCATAGGTGGCTGCCATTTCGGGACTTTACACGTGTTCGCGGCCATCTTACGCAAGTCTTAGAAAGACTAAACCGTACATGGGGATTCCGGCGAACACTGAGATAGCTGTGGATGGCAAGGGTTTCGTGGGGTTTTAATGCACGAACAGAGACCGACCGCAAGGCCAAAACTTGTGGAACTATTTTCGGCTAGAAAGTCAGTGCGGTCGGGCAATACTTCAAAGATCCATAACGCCCGAACCCTTTAACCGAATGAGCTGGATTTTGGATATGTTGTTCCCCTGAACCAGGACTATCTGGGGATACTGGATTTAAAGATGTACCCCCTGTTTTGGGGGTACATCCAGAACTTGGGTAAAATTGTGTGTGTTAATTATGTTAAATGTTTATCTGAGGGGAGGAGACGTGGAGGTTGTACCATGTATGTGATTGGTTATTGTGTTAATTATGTAGGTGTAGCCCTTTCCAGGGCAGCATTGCATAAAAGGAGACCCCTGTCAATAAACATCAGTTCTGCTTGACCCTTCAAAATGTAGCCTCGTCTAGTTCTTGGAGGGGATTTATTGTACCGTTACTCTGCTCCAGTTTACAGCTATGCCTGACTCTACCCTTGGATTTCGTGGATGGGATTTAGAACTCCATTACTACACAGCAGCCTGCCAGGAAAAGGACGTCTCCAACGGCTGATACCCCTGTAACGGACCGTTTTCCACAAAAGGGGTAAAAACCGTTTAGGCAATCAGCCCCCTTTCCAGAGATACAGGCACAGCTGCTGCAGAACACCAAACTCCCGAACTGGATACAAAATAGCACTCCAACTCCCGAACTGGAACCTCCCAGATAGCTGCTAGCAGATGAACAGGAAAAGCAGACAGACAATCAGCTTACACTCCTGGCAATCAGTCTCTAACAGCATACAGTAAATCCCCCCAAGAACGAGACAAGGCTCTGTGTTGAGGGTCAAGCAGTGGTCTGAGGTGCTGGCACACCCAGCCTGGTTTTTATTACAGCCTTTCAAATACAGGACCACCCACAGGGAGGTATAAAACAACCAATCACATCAGTTACATCCCACATATTCCCTCCCCTTATCCTGAGAGGAAACTCAATTACACATACAGTTAAAACATACTTTCTACCCAACTTTCATAACTTTAAAACCATACATCACATTCACATAAAATTACATATTCACAATTATCCATTCAGGGGAACAACATATTAAAAAATGGCATGAATCCGACCAGGGGTTCAAAAGTTAGTAAAAGCATCTTTTGGGCCCTGGCTGGCACATGGCTATCTGGCTCAAACAGGTTTTACAGAGGCCTCTATCCTGAGACAATGGGGGAAAGTAATCCAATTATCCAGGGATAGAGGCAGACTCCATTGAGCACATGGTTGCAAAAAGACATAAAACACTTTAAAATACATAAAGTCACCTTTTACACATAACACACAGACAGTTCAGCTGGGATCTGAGCGCACAAAACTACCGAATAGCGCTCAGATCCTATTCACACAGTTCAATTGCCATGGAGCCAAAGTCTTTAACTACACGAATGGGCTCCATGGCATAGCTATCTGGGTTAACACATTCACATAAAGTCTGGTCCATGGTCCAAAGGCAGCAGACAGGCTTCTCCAATGCAATGTGGCAAGATTGCTCTCGTCACAACCCCCAACAATCCTGAGTAGCCATTACACTCAGTTTTCCTTTTTATTTAATAAAAAGCAGGTGCTTTAAATAATAACAAACAAACAAAATCCCTTGCTCTTACTTGCGCTCTTACTAGACAGGAATTACTATCTGTAATTGGGTGGCTTTCCCACTTACCAAAAAAAAAAAAAAATAGGTTTGCAATAAACACAAGCGTTGTTCACTCTCCAAGCTGGCTTTTTCTCCCTCACTCTGCAGCAGGCTGATCTCTTCTTTTAAAGGCCTGTCTGCTAAGTGACCAGCTACAGGTGAGTGCCAATTAGTAAACCCGTAAGTCAGATCCAAATTGTGGTCTGTTACACAGCAACTAGTGCTGTTGGAGCATTGGCCCACCCTGCTCTCCAAATACTCCGCCCCAGGGACCCATACCGTGTTTTGCAGAGCATCAGCAATGTATATTGCAAACTTTAACATCTCTCTCTGGGGCATTTAACTGAAAATTCTCTGGTTGCTGTTTAGCAAATCAGGCTTGATGTATCTTCCATCAACCACTATTCCACTTTTTCGCTCACAACACATTTATCCAGGACACACATACATTTATCCAGGGCACACAGACATTTATCCAGGGCACACAGACATTTATCAATCTGGCAGCCATCATGGAGGAGGTAATCATTCTAGCAGACATCATGGAGGAGGTAATCAATCCAGCAGCCATCATGGAGGAGGTAATCAATCCAGCAGCCATCGTGGAGGAGGTAATCAATCCAGCAGCCATGATGGAGGAGGTAATCAATCCAGCAGCCATCGTGGAGGAGGTAATCAATCCAGCAGCCATGATGGAGGAGGTAATCAATCCAGCAGCCATTGTGGAGAAAGTTATCAATCTAGCAGCCATCATGGAGGAGGTAATCAATCCAGCAGCCATGATGGAGGAGGTTATCAATCCAGCAGCCATCATGGAGGAGGTAATCAATCCTGCAGTCATCATGGAGGAGGTAAACAATCCAGCAGCCATCATTGAGGAGGTAATCAATCCAGCAGCCATCATGGAAGAGGTAATCAATCGAGCAGCCATCATGGAGGAGGTAATCAATCGAGCAGCCATCATGGAGGAGGTAATCAATCCGGCAGCCATCATGGAGGAGGTAATCAATCGAGCAGCCATCATGGAGGAGGTAATCAATCCGGCAGCCATCATGGAGGAGGTAATCAATCCCGCAGTCATCATGGACGAGGTAATCAATCCCGCAGCCATCATGGAGGAGGTAATCAATCCAGCAGCCATCATGGAGGTGGTAATCAATCCAGCAGCCATCACGGAGGAGGTAATCATTCCAGCAGCCATCATGGAGGAGGTAATCAATCCAGCAGCCATGATGGAGAAGGTTATCAATCCAGCAGCCATCATGGAGGAGGTAATCAATCCAGCAGCCATCGTGGAGGAAGTTATCAATCTAGCAGCCATTATGGAGGAGGTAATCAATCTAGCAGCCATTATGGAGGAGGTAATCAATCCAGCAGCCATCGTGGAGGAGGTATTCAATCCAGCAGCCATCGTGGAGGAGGTAATCAAACCAGCAGCCATGATGGAGGAGGTAATCAATCCAGCAGCCATCATGGAGGAGGTAATCAATCCAGCAGCCATCATGGAGGAAGTTATCAATCTAGCAGCCATCATGGAGGAGGTAATCAATCCAGCAGCCATCGTGGAGGAGGTAATCAATCCAGCAGCCATCATGGAGGAGGTAATCAATCCAGCAGCCATGATGGAGGAGGTAATCAATCCCGCAGCCATCATGGAGGAGGTAATCAATCCAGCAGCCATCATTGAGGAGGTAATCAATCCAGCAGCCATCATGGAGGAGGTAATTATTCCCGCAGCCATCATTGAGGAGGTAATCAATCCCTTTGGCCCTTTGGACCGGTGGGGGAGATTCTGGTCCACTCCTGAGGGGCTTCCCTGATCTAACAAGAGCAGGGGGAAGTCATAAGAGCAGACAAACAACACAGCAACTAACCTATCATGGCGGACATTGCGTGTTCCCTCTGCCTCAACAATACAAAACTTGCTGTCATGACACAGCTGGAAATAATTTTTTTATGACTTCTGGCGAAGCTTGAAAGCAGGATGCAGCAAACTGCCCGCGGCAGTCGTGTGTCCACTTAACTCGAGTATCTAGGGCCGGTGCAAGGATTTTTGGCTACATCGGCGAAGACACATTTTGCAGACACCCCCCACCCCCCAAATGCATCTTTACCAGGGTCTTGTAACCCCCCTTTTGTTCTTACCCCTTTAGTGTGTCTTACACTCCCTTGTATGTAAAGAGTGTGGAAAAAATCACAATACATGTAAAAAAATAAATATAACAACCTGGAGAAGTAAGGAAATCTCTTGCCACCTTGGGCATCTCTTTCTTTCCCAAAGCCCTTTTCTGTGTGTTTCTCCACTCTGCCTGTTATGTTGCCCCCACCACCCCCCTAGGGCCCTTTTGTGTGTCTTTTTCCTCCCAAACCATATAAAAATAGACATGTAGCAACACACACCACAATACAGGCACACAGTTACAGAGATATGCACACACACAGTCATACAGGCACACACATACAGGTACACCATAGGCGTGCGCAGCCTATTGCATTAGGGTGTGCACCCTAAAGCACAAGCACACGCCGCATATATATATGTATGTATGTATATATATATATATATATATACATACACATATATACACACATACACACACTGCTGTGTGTGTGTGTGCTGTGTGAGGGTGCTGTTAGTGTGATGTGTGTGTGACGATGCTGGTAGTGTGCTATGTGGGTGAGGGTGTTTGTGTGTGCGTGCTTGGGAGGATGCTGTTAATGTACTGTGTGTGAGGGTGCTGTTTGTGTGTGTGTGTGCGCTTGTGAGGGTGCTGTTAATGTACTGTGTGTGAGGGTGCTGTTTGTGTGTGAGGGTACTGCTAGTGTGCTGTGTGTGTGTTTGTTAGGGTCCTGTTTCTGTTTGTGAGGGTACTGTTAGTGTGCTGTGTGTGTGTGAGGGTGCTGTTTGTGTGCTGTGTGTGAGGGTGCTGTGTGTGTGTGTGTGTGTGTTGGTGCTGTGTATGTCTGTGGGTGCTGTATGTGTGTTGGTGCTGTGTATGTCTGTGGGTGCTGTGTATGTCTGTGGGTGCTGTATGTGTGTGTCTGTGGGTGCTGTGTGTGTCTGTGGGAGTGCTGTATGTGTGTGGGTGCTGTATGTATGTCTGTGGGTGCTGTGTATGGGTGCTGTATGTGTGTGGGTGCACTGTGTATGTCTGTGGGTGCTGTATGTGTGTGGGTGCTGTGTGTATGTGTGTGTGCAGGTGCTGTGTGTGTGTCTGTGGGTGCTGTATGTGTAGGTGCTGTGTGTATGTCTGTGGGTGCTGTGTATGTGTGTGCTGTATGTGTGTGGGTGCTGTGTGTATGTCTGTGTAGGTGCTGTGTCATGTTTGTGGGTGCTGTATGTCTGTGGGTGCTGAATGTATGTGGGTGCTGAATGTGTATGTGGGTGCTGAATGTGTGTAGGTGCTGTGTGTATGTCTGTGGGTGCTGTGTATGTCTGTGGGTGCTGAATGTGTGTAGGTGCTGTGTATGTGTGTGGGTGCTGAATGTCTGTGGGTGCTGTATGTGTGTGGGTGCTGTGTATGTGTGTGGGTGCTGTGTATGTCTGTGGGTGCTGTGTATGTCTGTGGGTGCTATATGTGTGTGGGTGCTGTGTGGGTGCTGTATGTCTGTGGGTGCTGTGTATGTCTGTGGGTGCTGTATGTCTGTGGGTGCTGAATGTGTGTGGGTGCTGTGTATGTCTGTGGGTGCTGTGTATGTCTGTGGGTACTGTATGTGTGTGGGTGCTGTGTGGATGCTGTATGCCTGTGGGTGCTGTGTATGTCTGTGGGTGCTGAATGTGTGTGGGTGCTGAATGTGTGTGGGTGCTGTGTATGTCTGTGGGTGCTGTATGTCTGTGGGTGCTGTGTATGTCTGTGGGTGTTGAATGTGTGTGGGTGCTGTGTATGTCTGTGGGTGCTGAATGTGTGTGGGTGCTGAATGTGTGTGGGTGCTGTATGTGTGTGTGTGTGCTGTATGTGTGTGGGTGCTGTATGTGTGTGGGTGCTGTATGTGTGTGGGTGCAGAATGTGTGTGGGTGCTGTGTATGTCTGTGGGTGCTGAATGTGTGTGGGTGCTGAATGTGTGTGGGTGCTGTGTATGTCTGTGGGTGCTGAATGTGTGTGGGTGCAGTATGTGTGTGGGTGCTGTGTGTGTTGTATGTGTGTGGGTGGGTGATTGTGGGGGGTGGAGGTGGGGGTACATTACTTGCTATCCCCCCTCCCTTCTTACCTTTTGTAGGGAGGGGGGATCGTGCTGCTGCTTCCTTCCCTGGTGGTCCAGTGGAGGAGGGGATCGTGCTGCTGTGATCCCTGGTGGTCCAGTGGAGAGTGAACTCTAACCCCTGTGGGGCTAGAGTTCACTCTCGCGAGATTAGAGCGTTGCCGTGGCAATGCTCATATCTCACGAGAGGAACCCGGCGGAGCTGCCGGCAAGAGCTCCGCCGGGTCCTCTCCTGCCTCCCTCCCTGCATGTGGGTCAGTGGGGAGGGAGGCTGAGAGCAGAGCCGGCGCTCGGATAGTGCCGGCTCTGCATGAGCCGACAGGGGAGATCCTGAGATCTCCCCTGCCGGTCTCAATATACATAGGCGTGCCGCGGGGATTAGGGTGTGCCCAGGCACACCCCGTGCGCACGCCTATGAGGTACACTGTCATACAAACACAGACATACAGTTATACAGACACACAGAGACATGCAGACACTGTCATACAGAGATATACAAACACAGACATAGACACAAGGCATACAGAGGGGTCATAATTGCTGTTGAAGGAGGAAGGGGACAGGGGATGTGGGGGTGGAGGCAAAGCAGGGCCGGTGCAAGGATTCTTGCCGCCCTAGGCAAGAATATATTTTGACGCCCCCTTATGAATGCAACTACATTCCCTCAGAGGTTTATTCACTAAACTCTGAATTACACTAAAGAGACATTTAGGGAAAGAGGCGCACTAAGTAGATATTAAAGGGAAACTATAGTGCCAGGAATACAAACTTGTTATCCTGGCACTATAGCTTCCCCCTCCGACAAGCGCATCCCACCTCGTGGTGCAGCAGGGGTTAAAACACCGTCTGTCACTTACCTGGGTCCAGCACCAATGTCTTTTGTGCTGGATTGGGTCCGCCTTCGTTTCTCAATGGCCGCGCTCACAGTGGCATTTCCGTGACTGGAAGTCCCCATGCATAGCCACTAGAGGAGTTAACCCTGAACGGTAATTATTGAAGTTTTTTAAAAATTGCAATAATTACCTTTGCAGTGTCACTTACACAATCTCACTAATACACACACACTCTCTCACTGGCATACACACTTACACATTCTAACTCTAACTTACACACTAACACATACACATTCTCACTGACCTACACATTGTCACTTACACACTCTCACTAACACACACAGTGTCACCTACATACTCTCACTAACACACAATGTCACCTACATACTCTCACTTATACACACACTCTAACTTACAAACTCTCCCAGGCATACACATGGTCAGTTACACACTAACACCACACAGTGTCACTTACACATACTCACTAACAGTGTCACTTGCACACTCTCCCTAACACATACTCACTAACAGTGTCACTTGCACACTCTCCCTAACACATACTCACTAACAGTGTCACTTGCACATTCTCACTAACACACACACCCAGTGTCACTTGCACACACTAATACACACACACACACACAGTCACTTACACACTCTCATTAACACACACACTGTCACTTAAACACAAACTTTACATAAAGTCACACTTTATTTACACACACAAACACACCAATTTAACACACTCCCCCATTTACAAACATGCACACAATAAGCAATCCCCCTTAACCATGCCATACCTGGGTGCTGTGATGAGCAGAGGTCCAGGGTGCAGGATCCAGGATGTTGCTCTTTCTCCTGGGGGAGCAAGAGAGCCGCACTTTGAGCACAGCCTGCTTCCTGCTCACTTCACAGTGCTTCCGGTGTTCACAACTCCCGCTGCCTGCAGGAAGCACAGTGCTCTGCTCGGGTTACAGCAAACCCCACTGCCCAGCAGGTAATCGGCTGCAGAGGGAGCCCAGCAGATGAGTGGCTGCGCTGGGGGATGGCCAAGGAGCCACTCACCCAGCACAGCATCCCCAGACAGCTATAGAAGGGCAGCCCACCGGGAAACCTCTCAGTGGGCGCCCCCTAGAGGGCGGCGCCCCAGTCGAATGCCTTATTCGCTTTAATGGTAGCGCCGGCCCTGGGGCAAAGGGGCAGTAGAGGGGGCACAGGGGCAGCAGAACTGGGACAGTGCTGTAGAAGGGAGGACAGGGGCAATGTTGGTGGGGCATGGGCTGTAGAGAGAGGCAAAGAAGCTGTAGGGGGGGCAAAGGAGCAGCAGAAGGGGGGCAGTGGCTGTAGAAGGGAGTCAGGGGCAGTATGATGGGGCAGGGGCTGTGGAGGAGGGGCAGAATGGTCGTGGCAGAGGCTGTGGGGGGGGCAGGGGCAGCAGAAATGGGGACAGGCTGCAAAGGATGGTCAGGGGCTCTGGGGGGGACAGGAACTGCAGAGTGGAAGGGACAGGGGCAATACAGGGGGCACAGGGGCAGCAAAAGGAGGAGGTAATTCAGGGGCTGTAGAGGGTGATAGAGGGAAGGAACCTGAGGCAGAGGTACGGCCAGAGGCAGAGACAGGGCCAGAGGTAGGGCCAGAGCCTGAGGCAGAGCCAGAGCCAGAGGCAGGGCCAGAGGCAGGGCCAGAGCCAGAGGCAGGGGCAGGGCCAGAGCCAGAGGCAGGGGTAGGGCCAGAGGCAGAGCCTGAGGCAGAGGTAGGGCCAGGGCCTGAGGCAGAGGCAGGGGCAG